CTACTGATTGAAAAAAAAACAGATAGACCCTGAGCACTTACTAAATTTGTAGTTATATGTAGCGTATATCTGTAGTATGACTTAAACCACACTAGTTTTTGCAACTTTACTACCTCTTGCTCCATAAGGAAACAGTACACAGGGTGTGTCTTGAATTTCTGGTTGATTATTCCTTACCTTGATCATTTTGGACCTTTTCTTACCTTCTATATGCCTGGAAAACAAACCATCCTAAAATACTTCTCTCTGAAATAAGGGATGGCAAGTGAAAGACATCAGCTTTCTAATCTTTATATGTCTTTTTCTATAGTTGGATTGTATTACATATAGACAACGTATATTCTAACAACCCCCAAATCTGTTCTTTCTTGGGGTGCAGCTAATGTGCCTGTGTAATGGCGTGTGTTACTGCTCACGAGTGGAGCAGTGAGCTGGGCACATACTGTACATATACTGTAGCAGTACAGATCAACCACACAAACTTGATCTTATATCTGAGCCCTCACTGAAGACAGCAGCATACTTTTGCTACAATCCCTGATCTTCATCAAATGGCCATCAAAAAGCACTAAGAATATTTTCACTGCGTTTCATGTGAGCCATGGGATCAAGCTTTTAAAAAATGCCCCCCAGACACACAAAGCTCAGAGAACAACTGGATGTGCCCAAACCCTAATAGAAAACTTTATTGCCGGGGTATCATAAAGTCTCCAAAAGGTAGTTTTAAGTAAGTTCTTTTAAATTTTCATGTGTGCAAGTTGAGTGAATGAGAATAGGGGAACTGCAGGAGGAGTAAAAGATGGTAAAACCTCATTTTTTTGAAAGATGTTACTTGAGAGAACATATACCAAAATACGTCTCACTTTCTCCTCTGTCCACATATTAATGGTTTACAATAATGCTCTCTGTGCATCTATGCAAATACTTGAAGAATGCAATTCATTGTGCCTTTTGCCTAGTTTTAATAAATGTCAGTTGTCATTAACAGATATCCTGTCACTGTGTCCTATTTCATTACCTTGGTTTAAATCTTCATTTTATATGTGGCATTTGTCCAGAGATGCAGGATAGCTGGAGGAATGGCTTTTATGAAATGCAGTTCTAGGCAGTGAGAAGGATGAGTCCCGTTTACAATCTATTTCTAAAATAAAATGCAAAAAGCATTACACCAATTAGGACACCAAAAACAAAGCTAGAGTGAACTACTTGGATTATTTTCTGCTACCAAAGGAGGTCGCTGCTGTTTTACTCTCTGCCCTGGGTGCTCTTTCTGCTGTACTTGTCTGTCCTTCAGCCTGTTCATCCTTTAGGGCTACACCAATAAGATCAGAGAAATCATTAAAAACTTTCAGATCCACCTGCAAGGGTTTTTTTTAGAAAAGGCCTTTATTTCCCTTTCCACATTCCAAAAAAAAGTACTGAAATGTTATTAAAATAAGAGATTGCATGTTCCTCTCCCCCCCCAACCCCAAGCTGCATTTGCTCAGCGATGCTCAGACTCAGGTGTAACCAGGTCAGCATCTCAGACAGCGTCAGTCTGTGCCGTGGTCCAGGGCTAACCCAGCCGGAGCTGCCTCCAGACCGAGCCAGCTTGGCAAAGCCGGCTCAGGCTTCGCCACTCCCTGTTTGGGATTCACTGTGAGCAAACCGGCTCCAGTCTCCCTGTGCTGTAAGACCCAGCAGCAAGATGGGAAAAACTTTTAACTGCGGTAATACTTTCCTTTTTCACCTTCCAGCTCAAAATGTTATTTTTCTCATCCCTTCATCCTCACCATTGATACAAATCCAAGGGGGTTTTGAACGTGAGCCGTGAGCAAGCGTCCAGGTAACATCCATACTATATTGAGAGAGATGGAGAGGGGTGAACGGGACCGCTCTGGGATAAACTGCATCCCTACAGCTCTGCAGAGCATTACCCAATTATGCCTGTTCAGTTTTTAGCATGCAGCTCATACATCCCTCTAAAGAACAACAATTTTGGGCTTAAGTGATAGCAGGACAGGTCATGGGGCTCAAAGATTTGAGGGGGCTCTCCAAGGTCAAGACATTTGATAAGAAAAAAACCCTTAAAATCTACAGCCACTTGCTCTTTCAGGCTGAAAAGATTTTCACAGACCACAAAAAGGCTTCGAGACGGTGGCGGCATTTCTCCTGACACAGGGTTTACCCTGCCAGAGCTTCCCAGCCTCAGCGGGGGCTGCCCCTTGCTCAGGTGAGGTCTGGATCAGGCACAGTGGCTTCACCAACCACATCAACAGAGCCTGGGCACCATAGCTGCTAAGAGAAAAAACCAACCAAACAAACAAAACCCCACATAAAACTAATTAACACTGTGCTGCAGGGAAACTCCTGCACCTCACAAAAAACAAAAGTTGAAAAAGATTTCTCTGCCATGGTCCTGTAAAAACACTTTATAGCTTGGGTCCTGCCCTGAGCCTAAGTGAACGCCTATTCCAAACTTTACCATGTTTTGCCCATATTCACCAATATTCTTGTCCCATATTTGCCGAGCAAGTAATTTAATATGGATGAGCAGAGTCTGAATAGCAGGCGTACACCATTCAGTCCTTGTCTCTCACCTCCATTTGAGATACTGGTGTGTATTTTGGTGTTCATGCAAGCGTCTAGAAAGGAAAAAAAAAAAGACAAAAACACTAATCAATGACTCAATCAGGGCCTGGAAATAAACATATCAATGGCCACCCAGGGGAAGGAGTGCAAGAGTAAACATTAGCCCTGCCAAGAATGAGAGATGGGAAGGGGCCTCAGAGAGGAGCTTTGTCCCAGGAGTATCATATTTCAAGAGGATTTTCATTTTCAGTGGCTGCATGTATTAAAGCCCAGTGAGGATTAAACATACCCTTTGCTGCCACACCACGAGAAAGATCAAATCCAAAAGCCCAGAGAAAGACTTGGCTTGACTCTACCAATCTTTGCATAAGACACTGTTGGTTTTATTTTCTGCTTTTCCGTTTTTTAATTGCTCGCTAGCATCTGGAATATTGACATCAACCCATTCACCCAACCTCCAGACCCTCGCATATAACGCGCTAGGTATAGATCATGAATACTTGGGGTTTATCCTCCGGGGCAATGCTGGAGTTGTCCACCTCTATCAGGATGTTCTTGTCATCTCGGGTGACTGGCGCTTGCTGTCCACTCTGGAGGACTTGTGGTAGATTCCCTAAACTGACATCCATGTCTTTGAAGGCATGGAGTAAAAACACCCCCAAAATGATGGTGAGGAAGCCACAAACTGTCCCAATGATGTCCACTACAGTCATGGTTACCCACTCCTTAAAGAGGATGATAGAAGTGGTGATGACGATGGTGGTGAACAGCACATAGTAGATGGGAAACACCAAAGAGGTGTTGAAAATGTCTAGAGACTTATTGAGGTAGTTAATTTGTGTAGTGATGGATGCCACCAGCGTGATGACTAGGATCCACGTCAACGGGTGCTGCAGCACAGGCCGGCCAGCAAAGAAGCCCTTGATGGCAATACCCAGGCCCTTGACTGAGGACACGGAGAAGGCACCGATAACGGAGC